GAGGGCGCTTCTGGTAGGTCCTACTTCTTTACTTTCCTTATGTTGTTTCTGTCTGTCTGTCTGGGTGGTTGGAGGGCGCTTCTGGTAGGTCCTACTTCTTTACTTTCCCTTTGTTGTTTCTGTCTGTCTGTCTGGGTGGTTGGAGGGCGCTTCTGGTAGGTCCTACTTCTTTACTTTCCCTTTGTTGTTTCTGTCTGTCTGTCTATCTGACTTTTTCCCCCAGTCCTAAATGACCAGCATTGCGTCGATGAGCTTCTCTTTACTCCAACAAAACCTAGCAAAAACGTCATGTTGTTGTTGCAGTTATTGTTTTGCTCGTTGGCTGTCTGAATAGTTTGTTTTTGTTTTTAGTAAGGTTTTACGGTGCTCGCAACTGCATAAGGTCATATTAGCGCCAAGGGGTGAATGTCAACGGAGAAGTCCTTACAGGGAACCGGGCTTACTCTGCTCACCTCTCTAGCTTCAACAGCACAAAGCCTGGGGGTGGGGGGGGTCTGATTAGTCGACTGTATGTGGAATTTACTTTTACGCCATCATGAACCTCCCCACCCGCTTGTGAGTGGGGTAGGGTGTCCGTTGTAAGGTCCTTTTCTTATCTCTACTCTTTCGTTTCTCGCCCGTTGTCGCTGTCTCTCTCCTCTGTGTCCTGCGTGTTCATCACACAAAATGGTCGTTACCACCATGTCACTGTGCTTCTTTTTCATTAAACTATAAGCCTCTTGGTGGGTGGTTGACGGGTGCTTTGGTGTGGTTTGCTCCTTATTTCCTGTCAAGCATTTGTCGTCCTTAACTCTGTGGGTGGTTGGCTTGTGCTCTGGTGTGGTTTGCTTCTTCTTTCCTATCAAACATCTATTGTCTTTATCTTCCCTCCTTCTATTTTGTGTGTTTGTTACTCTCTTGTAACACCTCTAATCTTTGGCACTTATATGACCTTATTGTGTTGCAAGTGCTGTAAAACTCTTACTAAAACTAAGAACTTACTGTGTAAGGAGTGCTGTACAACTGTGGAACTGGAGCTAAAATATGGTCACTTGTAAGGGTATCGGGCTGACCCAGATTTCCTGGTAGTTCCCACCCCAGGTGGAAATCACATATGTAAGGCAGCGTGGTGGAATCAGGCTCTCGTCAATTTTTGGGCATATAGAGTTATTGATATCATCTTAAAGCTTGTTCACTTGTCTTTATTTGGATGAAAAAAAATATCAATTAATCTTGAATACATGTCGAGATATTTGCTAATGAAGGAGGTTGGGGTCACCTATTTTCAGAGGAAAAGTTAGTGAGAAAATGGCCGCCAAAGAGTAGTTATTTCCATAGCTTAATAGTCCGTGGTAACTGAAAATTTCAATTTTTTGTTTCTTTAATTAACGTTTTTCAGGAAAGTTTGGTTTCGTTGTTGTGTTATATTTGTTTGGTTACAGCAAAAACTCTCCTTGTCGTTGAAAGAAGTATCTCGGTTCTTTCCGCTGGGGTATGTTGTATCCTTCTCCGCTCGGGTCGGGTTAGCCCTGACAGGTAGTGTCGGAAACCCACTATGGAAATGTTTCAAAATTATGTGATTTTTTTTTTTTTAATGTTTTTTTTTTGGTGAGGTAGGGGGTGGGAGTGGCTCGCGTAAGTAAATACACCTATATTGGGAAAAAATCAATATCATTCCCCCCCCCTCCCCCCTCCCC